GGTCACTGCAGCCTCGAACTCCTAGGCTCAGGTGCTCCTTCCACCTCAGCGTTCTGAGTTAGGACTACAGGTGTGCGCCACCACCCCTGGCTAATGTTTGTATTTTTCGTAGAGACGGGGTCTCGTTATGGTGCCCAGGCTGTTCTCGAACTCCTGGACTCAAGCGATCTACCTCCCTCAGCCTCCCAGAATGCTGGGATTACGGGTGTGAGCCACTGCACCCAACCAGACTCCATATTCTAAACCAAGGGTGGGCAAACTTTATTGCCAATGGGCTACCTGTTTTGCAAATACAGTTCTATATTGGAACACAGCCACGTTCATTCACTGATGTTTTACCTGGGGCCGCTTTTGCATCCCAATGGCACAGTTAAGTAGCTACTAGGGTGGTGCAAAAGTAGTTGCTGTTTTTGCCATTAAATATATTGGAGACATTGTGGCCCACAAAGCCTTTGTAGAAAAAGATTGCTGTGCCTACTCTGGATCATCACTCGACAGTGATGGTTTCATTCCTCATTCCATTCACCAGACCAGAAATTCATATTTATTTACTTCATTTGTCATTGCTTATGACAAGTCTTTTTCCTCTTTTACAGATAAACCAGCTAACACATGTTTTAAAGTAGGAAATTATAAGACCTCCCCCAGGGTCCTGCAGTCAGTCAGTTATACCCTGTCCTTCAACATCAAGCTTTGAACCTCTACTCTAGAAATACCTTTTATTGTATTCAAACTTGAAGCACATGGACATAGCATGCTTTGGTGCCTTCGCCCTTGTTCCCCTCCTTCCTACACAGTTCTTTGCAATGAGAATATGGGAAATAAGGACTTAATGTGGGATAAGGCAGAAAGGTAAGCTGAGGCAAATGTTTAGAGGTTCCTAACACTAATTTTTAAATGAAGAAGTGGGGTGTCTGAAATATTCATTTATTTAGACATATACAGGTAGTGAGCCTAGACTTCCAAGAGCTTAGAACCCCTCCCCTTGTGCCTGCCCAACTTTACATGTACTATCTTGGTAACCTGCCTATGAATACATTTTGATTCATTTCACTTCATTAAAAAGTCGGAGAGCTCAAAGTCATATTTGAGAAAGCTAAATTTAAAACAAAATGGAGGAAACATTGAATAGGCTCATCTTGTTGGATAGGATCATCCTAGGAATAAAATAAAATAGAAGGAAAAGTCTTACAGCCATATTGTTAAAGCTGCTTGCTGGATTTTTCCCAAAATTTTATTGTGAAAGTTGTCAAACATACATACAGAAAAGTTGAAAGAATTGTATGGTGAAAAGCCATGTACCCAACACCTAGATTTTATAATTAACATTTCACTATACAGTCATGTGTTGCTTAAAGACAGGATGTGTTCTGAGTAATGGATCATTAAGTGATTTTGTTGTTGTGTGAACATCATAGGGGAGTGTACTTATACAAACCTAGATGGTATAGCTTACTACACACCTAGGCTATATGGTATAGCCTATTCCTCCTAGGCTACAAACCTGTACAGCATGTTGCTGTATTGAATACTGTAGGCATTTGGAACACAACGGTAAGTATTTGTATATCCAAACATATCTAACATAGAGAAGGTACAGTAAAAACATGGTGTTATTATCTTATGGGACCACCATTGTATATGCGCCTGTGACTGAAATGTTACTATAAGATTCAGGACTGTTTGCGTTATCACATTAACTCATCTTTGTTGAATAGGTTTTAAAAATCTGTCTGTCGTCCATGTTAATGTCATCTGTATCTGACCCATCATGGTGCTGAAAAAGTTTGTTTTCATTCTTATTTGTGTCTTCTAAGTTGGCATGAATACCAGCACAGCACAACTATGTGTAAGCAGATCTGTGCAGGAATGAGAGTCTCAGGGAAAGAATCCACGTTGTTTCTGAAAGAAAATGGCTATAGCTCACTGTTGTTTACTGGAAATAGTAGGGGGAAGGAAAGATGGAAGTCCAGGTCCAGTGTCATATACTGCCTTGCACCTTACTCACTTCTCTGCCTTTAGGGTAGGTGGTTTTCTGAGCAGCTCCTGCTTGGTTCTTTCCTTTAAGGCTTGCTAAAGGAGAAACAACAATGTCATATTGAAATGCCAATGAGGCAATATTTAGCATTAGAATAACTCTTTGGAATTCTAGCAAATGGATTTTTAGTTTGGGCTATTGTCTAATAGTATTCTTTGAGCCTTTTCTGTTAGCAACAGCTGCAGTTTCAGTTAGGAAGCACCATGAAATTTTGTTTGTCTTTATCCATGGACATGATAATGGTCAATGTTACCTGTTTGTGTCTATCTCCTTTGATTTAAACTCAAGGGTAGAGACCGTGTTTTACTGATCTTTGCACATCTCTTACACTGTAAGGTTTGTATTCATTTATAGGGATATACCCCCAAATATATGTTTAACATTATTAAAAAAAAGATTTAGATATGGGCATTTTCACGGTGTTTATAACAGTAAATAATGGAAAAACTTACCTAGTCATGAACAGGAACTTGGTTAAATACATTTTGGTGTATTCATGTAATGGCACAACATAGCCATTAAAAATAAAAATAGTCTTGAAGATAAATATTTGACTTAGAAAGATGTATAGAGCATATTAATTGAAAAAGGGCTAAAGAGAAACAGTATAGTTTCATCTAATCATTGTAAAATAAGAATTCATGTTTGTACCTGTATATGAAAGTTGTTGGAAGAACGTACCCCAAGTGTTAAACTTTTCTGGGATTCTGGCTAAATTTTTTTTTTTTTTTTTGAGATGGAGTCTCGCTCTGTTGCCAGGCTGGAGTGCAGTGGCATGATTGTGGCTCACTGCAACCTCTGACTCCCTGGTTCAAGCGATTCTCTTGCCTCAGCCTCCCGAGTGGGATTACAGGCATGCGCCACCACGTCCAGCTAATTTTTGTATTTTTAGTAGAGACGAGGTTTCACCATGTTGGCCAGGATGATCTTGATCTCCTGACCTCGTGATCCGCCGGCTTCCGCCCCCCAAACTGCTGGGATTACAGGCGTGAGCCACTGCGCCCGGCCTCTGGCTGATTTTTACATTCTTTGCCTAATATAGTTCTGGATTTTTTTTTTTTTTGCAGTGTTCATCTATGACTATCAAAGCTAGAGACACATAGAAACTATTTTCATTTTGAAACTGTTGACTTGAACAGAAGTGGAATAAGTGGGGGTGGTGAGGGGTTCTGGAAACTGGAGAAATTTAGTTCGGAAAAGAGCTGGGTGGGGTGGGGGAAGGGAATGGTGGAAATAAGATCACTGTCTTCAGAGGAAGGCACTAACTACCACCTACCCCTGGATTCCTGGCTCCTTAGTGCAGGCATTTTCTGGATTAGTGTTTACACCTACCATTTATTTCCCAATTAGGCCCTCTACACATTCCTTTTCTACCCTTGTCCCTCTGGGCTTTAAAGCTACAATAATTGCTAGTGGCAGCAGCTACTTATGAATATGCAAGTCTTGCTCTAGTAAATGGTAGCCTTAGTTGCTCCAATAAAGAGATGGCTCAAGCCTATCAAGGCTCCTGCTTCCCCTCTCCTCTCAGCTAGGCAGCACCAGTCTTCCCTATCTATGGTGGGAGAGCTTTCTGCCTGGGTCTCATGGTCACTAGTAGATTAGAGGACAGATTCTTTCTGGCTGGTGGTAGGTAAAACAGTTAAAAATGAGTCCTGGGTAACTGCTCCTTGGGTCTTCCAGGGGTTTGAGTTGAGGGTTGCCGGCATCTCACTGAGTAACAGGAAACTTGGCAGTATTGACTTGTACTGCCAGCATATAATGATAACAGTACCCTGGGCTTTGGGCCATTGCTGAATTGCCAGATTTCTGGGTTATTTTTCATGCTAAGCAGCTAGGGACTGAGAAACTTACAGGCAATAGGCTGCTCCTTAGAAAGGACCCCTTGGCCAGGCAGGGTGGCTCATGCCTGTAATCCCAGCTCTTTGGGAAGCTGAGGTGGGTGGATCACCTGAGGTCAGGAGTTTGAGACCGGCCTGGCCAAGATGGTAAAACCCCATCTACTAAAAACACAAAAATTAGCCAGGCGCGGTGGCGGGTGCCTGTAATCCCAGCTACTCGGCAGGCTGAGGCAGGAGAATCACTTGAACCTGGGAGACTGAGGTTGCAGTGCTTGAACCCAGGAGGCAGAGGTTGCAGTGACCGAGATCACACCACTGCACTCTAGCCTGGGCGACAGAGCAAGACTCTGTTTCAAAAAAAGAAAGAATGAAAGGACTCCTTGATGGTCTTTGGCTTGTGTCTCATGACTCAGAGCCTGTTACTCCAGTGGTTGATTCTTGGAGGTAGGGGCATAGCCACTGGTCTACCTAGCTTTTTGTGGTCCTATTGATAACCCAGATAGCTGGGTGAGGGAGCAGATAATGTTCAATTCCTTTTCACTTAAGGTAAGGTGAGTGGTGGTGGGAGTTGAGATTGTAAATGATAGAGTCTTGGTCCAAGAGCCCAGAGTTTTGTAACCTTTTCCTATCAGTGTGAAAACCAGATGCCATCTGATGACTAGATGAAGGTTTCATTCACCTTTTGCAGGCTGTTTTGGTCAGGACTAAAGAATGTAGGTTCATTAACTGCCAGACACAGAAGGGCCAGTAAGGGGTCAAGTTTACCTCCTTATTCACAGCGATATTGAAGTCTAAAGAGGGGAAGAACTTGAAGGAAACTACGAAGATAAGCATTAGAGTTCACATCTGGGTACTAACACTTTGGTGTAGTCATTGGTACCTCTGTACCCAGGTTCTCTCATTTAAAATAAAGGCAGGAATCCTTACTAATAACCTTGCAACTGCCTTTGCCAGATAATATAATTGTGATGCTAAGTGTGAATGCTTAGCAAGAGTAAAATCTGAGATCCATGGTGTGACTGGCTGGATAACTTGACTAAGGTGGTAAAAATAAAATTAAAGCTAGATCTCAAACCTTGACTGTTCCATCTTATGTTTGTTTCTTTCTTCTCCCTGTCCTATAGGTGATGCCACATGCAGTCAGAAACTATGCCACTGGTGAAGAGGTATATTGAGCCCTGCCTGGTTAACCTCCAGTGAGGTTATCAGAGAATTGGGAGAGGCTCAAACCAGCATCCTGCACCTAGTTATCAAACCATTGTGAAGTCTTGGTAAGTGGCCAGTGGCTTTGGTGGGCTTGCTCAGTTAGTGGGATGGGGTAGGGTAAGGGTGCTTAATAGGCACTAAGCAATTACTGGATATTTTCACATTGCGATATGAAAAAAAGTCTTAAAATATTCAGGCTGTGCTACAGAATAAAGAATCTAACCTCTTTTTTCCCTATCGTCCCATTTTTACAGATGGGGGAATTAGAAATTGCCCAAGATTATATGAGGCCACAGTAGATGGCACAAATTGCCCAAGATTATAGCTAGTTGGCATAGAAAATGGATTTGAATCCAAGTCAGTACTGTGTCTTCTACTCAGTGCTTCATCTAGGTTCTATCAAATCCAAGGAAGCCATGTGAGACAGAAATGTTTTTATTTCACAGTAAAAGATTTTTTTTCTTTTTTTTTTAAATAGAGATGGGGGTCTCACTATGTTGCCCAGGCTGGTCTTGAACTCCTGGGCTCAAGTGATCCACACACCTTGGACTCATTTCACACTAAAAGATTTCTGTAATAGCTCCTGAGATTTTACTCCTCTGATGTTGGAAATGTCCATGGTGTGAAGTTTTATTATGCATAAAATCACCTGGGGTGCTTGTTAAACATGCAGATTCCTGGATGGCCAGAAAACTTCTCATTGGTCAAGAGCAACATTAAGATCTGCCTGTTACTCATACTGATGCTTCCTGCCCAGCAAGTTCATCAGAGGAAGAGGATGAATTACGGTTGCCATGGATGTCCTTGTGAGGCAGTTGGGAAGCCTTGGTAAGTTGCCAGTGGCTTGGGGTTCCCCAGTTGGTGGTAGAAAAGAGAAGGGAAATAGGTTATGATCTCGCCCTTTCTAACTTTCTAGCTTTATTAAGTACTTACTAAATGCCAGAGACTGTTGCAGATATTAACAAAGTCTTGCCATGGAACTTTCATTCTTGTGAAGTTAGACAAAGGGATAAGTAACCAGTAAATGTATAATGTATCATAAGTGTTATATCAATTGTTTTTTCCCATTATGATGTAAAAAATTGCACTTAAAAATGATTAGGTTAAACTAAGCAACATCTTGTGTTTTTCTCCCTTCTTCCCATTCTCCCTTTTAATACCTGCCACAGTTGCTCAATGCAATGGAGGCTGACCAAGCTGAGTGTCAGGAAGGTCATAGATGATGCAAACAGTCTTTTTTCTTTTTGTTACTTCTCACTAGGCTGGATTGTGAAGGATATTTGAAAAGTATTTTAGAGTCCACCAGATCCTCCATGTGAATGACCATGCAGCAAAAGAAGGAGGGTCCTGTCAGTGATTAAGGTAACATAGTGATGAAGGTAAGTAGGGGAAGAGAGGCTTACTTTGCCCTGATTCTTGTCAGGGAGGCTCTTAGAACTGCCATTTCCAGAGCATAAGTGACAGGCCAGCACTTTCAAAGCCTGCAACTTATTCTATAATATATCCTTCTTAAAACAATTCATGTAGATTATATGCTTACCCAGTCTGTGATCACTCCTGCAGAAGATCAGAAGAACTGAAATATAGGTGACATAGGCTCTTGCTTTTGTAAATATTTTGTTGAAACACAGTTGTGTTCATTCATTATTGTCGATGGCAGCTTTCATGCTACAGCAGAGATGAGTAGTTGGGAGAGAAACCATATGGACCATGGAGTTTGAAATATTACTGTCTGGCCCTTCACAGAAAGTTTGCCAATTCGTGGCATAGATTAAATAAATGTACTATGTCTACAAATCCTCCTCTCCCCATTTTCCTTTCAATGGGAGTTGCATTTACAGTTGATCCTAGAACATATGGAATCTCATAGTAATCAGCTTGCTTCTGAATTTCTTCCCACTCAAATTAAGCTCACCTAGAAAGCACATTCACAAATTGGGCTACATATACAGAAGGAACTGTGTTTTATATGCCTCATCGTAGTCAACTCATTTATCCTATATGTATGGTTCCCCCATTTTTTCCTTCTTTTCAGGGGTGACTTTTAAACTTGAGCCATTCATGAGTATCCAAAAAGTTACAACTTATGTTTTCTAATAAAGACTTTATCCTTATTTTAGTATACTTACCCTCCCTGGCTTTTTTGCATATTTCTGCAGATGTCTTGACCTTTCTGGGGAATAAGCCCCCTTAGAAGATTAATTTTCTGTAGTTCTCTATTGAGGAAATACATGACATTTAGCTTTTTAATAATTTGATGCCATTCATTGAGCACCTACTGTGTGCTTTATGTACCCTGTCTCATTGAATTTTTACAGAAAACTGGAAGAGTTAGTTTTGTGTTATTACTACCTCCATCTCAAAGATGAATCTTGGAAAGTTTAAGTAACTTTAGGTTACATTGTAATCAGTGGCAGAACTGGGACTTAAGAACATAATTCATGTTTGCATTTTCTTTTCTTTCTCTATCTTTTTTTTTTAAATTTTTTTAAAAGAGAGAGCATCTCACTCACTATGTTGCCCAGGCTGGTCTTGAACTCCTGGGCTCAAGCAATTCTCCCACCTCCGCCTCCCAAAGTGTTAGGATTATAGGCATGAGCCTTCATGCCCACCCCTTGCATTTTCTATTTAAGTGGTCTTGAAGTTTTTTTTTTTTTCCCTCTTTTTAAATCTTGGAATTTGGCCTTTAGTAAGCATAGAATAGCAAAGTGTAATACCTGAACTGGGGAAAAAAGTCCTTGAATTCTTTAGGAAAGACTTAGTTGATGGGTACAAAGTGAAATGCTCACTGGAACCGGGAATCAGAATCCAGTTCTGCTCACCTATCCCTACATACCCTTCTTCCCTCTGCCCTGGCGTGTCATGGTTGATGTACATATCAATGATCATCCCTTCTATAATCCCACTTAACAACTTAGAAGTTAATTGGTAATACTTTTCTGGCTTAAAACCCTTCTTCTCTGGGCAGGTGTGGTGGCTCCTACATTATTCCAGCACTTTGGGAGGCCGAGGTGGGAGGATTACATGAGCCCAGGAGTTTGAGACCAGCCTGGGTAACATAGCAAGACCCTGTCTCTACAAAAAAATTAAAAAGTAGCTGGGCATGGTGGTGTTCACGCCTGTAATCCCAGCATTTGGGGAGGCCAAGGCGGGTGAATCATGAGGTCAAGAGATCAAGACCATCCTGGCCAACATGGTGAAACCTCGTATGTACTAAAACAACAAAAATTAGCCGGGCGTGGTAGCAGGCACCTGTAGTCCCAGCTATGGGAGGCTGAGGCAGGAGAATCATGTGAACCTGGGAGACGGAGGTTACAGTGAGCTGAGATCGCACCACTGTACTCCAGCCTGGTGACAGAGCAAGACTCCGTCTCAAAAAAACAAAAAACAAAAAACAAAACATCCAGATGTCCTCTTACTGGAAGGGCATCATAGTTTATCCTGCGCCTGACACTAATATACCTACTCTGGGAATTCTTCTACCTACAACTATTTATCTGATCCCATCAGGTATTAAAGTTCTAAAAGTTAACAGAATTCTTAAAGGTTCCCAATCCCTCCCAGAAACCCCATCATCTCAAAGTCACTAGCTATTAAAAGAAGCAAAAAAAAAAAAAAAAAAAAAGTGGCTCCTGACCTAGTCCCTTTGAGTGTGAAGACCTATTTACTATATAAAGCTGTCACCTGCCTTGAAAAGATTAAGACAGCAAGAAAGTTCTTAGAAAGTCGGTACGTGGCTGGCCTCAGATAAGGAGAAATTGTTGAGAAGAAGGAGTTGGGTTTTTTTGTCTTTTTTTGTTTCTTGTTTTTGAGACAGGGTCTCGCTCTATCTCCCAGGTTGGAGTGCAATGGTGCGATCACAGCTCACTGCAGCCTCAACCCCCCAGACTCAAATAATCCTCCCTCCTCAGCCTCCCAAGTAGCTAGGACTACAGGATGCACCACCATGCCTATTGTTTCTATAGCAGGGTCTTATAATATGGCAGACACGGTGGCCTCCCACAGAGAAATGAGCCATAAAAGGGCCCTGTAAAAGCAAGGATGGCTCATTGTTTTAAGACAGCCAAATGTATGGCACTTGGAGAATTTCAAAGAGTAGAAGCCCTTCTTGATTGCACTCCCCTTTAACAGGCTTGCCTCTTATGGGGCTATGTGTAGCACTGAAATGGTTCACAAGTGAAAATGGTTATGCGTAGTGTGTCAGCCCCACCCTAAGCTCCCAGAGCCTCCATTCTGAGTACAAAGGTCAGTTTTCTTGGGACAGGCCAAGGATGATGGGATTTTCATTTCTCTCCTGATCCATGGCAAAGCATTCCTAAACTAGGCACTGGAAGTCTTGGTAACTGGAAAGAGACATTCACCAAGATGAGGAAGGCCAAAGCCAAGTGCCTTATATAGTCCCTAGAAAGCATTCCATTTTATGGAGCAATTTTTGGTCTCTCTCTTTTTTTTTTTTTTTGTGAGACAGTGACTCAGGCTAGAGTGCAATGATACAGTCACTGCTCATTGCAGCCTCAACTTCCTGTGCTCAGGTGATCCTCTCACTTCAACTTCCCAAGTGGTTGGGACTACGGACTACAAGTGTGCGCCACCATGCCCAGCTAATTTTTTGTATTTTTTGTAGAGACGGGGTTTTCCCATGTTGCCCAGGCTGGTCACAAACTTCTGGACTCAGGCAATCCACCTACCTTTGCCTCCCAAAGTCCTGGGATTACAGGTATAAGCCACCGTGCCCAGCTCTGGTCTCCTTTCTTAATCCTGTTGAATAAGCAAGATTTTTTATCTGAACCCTCCTTTTACTCTTCTTTCTGTTCTTCCATGATCACTTTGTCCATCTTCCTCTTTGTCATAGGCATGTCCTGTTTCTAATTCCCTTTCTCTTTTCTTTGGTAGCCTAGCCTTCAAGACTGCATTACACTCCCCAACTTAAAATCTTTTGATAGCCCAGGCAGCTTGGTTATCCCCAACTTAAAGTCTTTTTGTTGTAGCTGTATGGCATTTATCTAGGGCATGGGGTACACACAGTAGGTTTCTCTTCTTTTTTAACGTATTTATTATGTTTATGCATGTAAAGAGTTTATTGTTGGCCAGGCGTGGTGGCTCGTGCCTGTAATCCCAGCACTTTGGGAGGCGAGGCAGGAGGTCAGGAGTTTGAGAGCAGCCTGGCCAACATGATGAAACCCTGTCTCTACTAAATATACAAAAATTAGTGGGACAGGGTGGCTCATGCCTGTAATTGCAGCTGCTCGGGAGGCTGAAGCAGGAGAATCACTTGAGCCCAGAAGGTGGAGGTTACAGTGAGCTGAGATCGTGCCATTGCACTCCAGCCTGGGTGACAGAGGGAAACTCTGTCTCAAAATCAACAACAACAAAAAAAAGTTTAAAAATTGGAAACCACCAAAAAGTAGTATTAAGAGGAAAATAAAAATTACTCATAATCCCAGAATGCAGTCATGTGCTATTTTTAGTCTTATTTTATTCAGCCATTTTTCTCTTTACACAAACATTTTTTTTTTTTTTTTGAGATGGAGTCTCACTCAGTTGCCTGAGCTGGAGTGCAGTGGCACGATCTTGACTCACTGCAACCTCTGCCTCCTGGGTTCAAGCAATTCTGCTTCAGCCTCCTGAGTAGCTGGGACTACAGGCGCCCGCCATTACACTCAGCTAATTTTTTGTATTTTTAGTAGAGATGGGGTTTCACCATGTTTGCCAGGCTATTCTCGAACTCCTGACTTCGTGATTTGCCCACCTTGGCCACCTAAAGTGGTGGGATTACAGGCGTGAGCCACTGTGCCCGGCCTACAGGTTTTAGAATTTATTATTATCTAAATATTCATTTTAAATATTAATTGTAGTGTACTTCTTTGATTATTTTCTTTAGAGAAATTTCTGATTTCAGAACCAAGTTTATTAGCTTTCACTGTGTACATTAGCACCATTAAAACTAGCTAGACCCAAGAAGCAGTATTGAATGGGTACCCCTTCTTTACTTTCCTTTGATTCACTCTACTGTGGCGCTCACAGCTAAGTAAGTATGTACAGCAATGGCCTGTCATTTGGTCTATTATCTTTTGTGCTCTGAAATGTCTTTGTTTTTTCATCTGCTCTCAATACCTCTATGCTCTGACCCTTTGTATATAAGGGTAACCATATTTGTTCTTTCCTGCGAAATAATAAGTCTTTTCCTTCCATTCAGAGTAGCTGCCTGACTCATACAATGAATAAAGTCACATAGACTCAAAAGAGTAGAGATGGAGGTCGGATGTGGTGGCTTGTGCCTGTAATCCCAACACTTTGGGAGGCTGAGGTGGGAGGATCGCTTGAGCTTGAGCATAGGAGTTTGAGATCAGTCTGGGCAATGTAGCAAGACCTCATCTCTGCCGAAAAATAAAAATTAGCTGGGTGTGGTGGTGCATGGCTGTAGTCCCATGTAGTCCCAGGTACTTGGGAGGCTGAGGCGGGAGGTCATACATACTTTTTGTTGTTACTGCTTCATCATTGGTTCTGATCACTCAGTGTTCTTTCCTTTACATCACATCATAATACAGTATTCCGACTTGGCAACTTAGCTCATTTTATTATGAATAGTCTTTAATTAATTTGGTAAATTACTATGAATGAACATTTCATTCATTCTGCTAGGTGTAGGTTTTGCCAGCTGTTCCATTAAGGGACACTCTATGGCACGGGTTGGCAAACTTCTTCTGTAAAGGGCTAGGTAGTCTCTCTATTCAACTCTGCTGTTGTAGCATGAAAACGTCCATAGACAATATGGATACAAATGAGCATGATTGTGTTCTGGTAAAACTTGATTTACAAAAACAGGTAGTAGGTTGGATTTGGCCCAGGGACCATAGCATGCTGACCCCTGCTCTACAGTATACATACACAAAGACTTTCAAACAGAAAGATGTATACAATAAACCAACCATTCAGAGTTATTTGATTTACAGTGTATATAATAAAAATAATACAGCTGTATTTGAGTCAGCACTGAAAAGTCTCTTGTGATCTGTGTCTTACGTGCATGATTTGCAGAATATTCATACAAATTCCATGAATATTCTTCATGGGCCATGTTATTACCATTCCTTAGAGGAATCTCTTCCTTGTCATGGGTCACTCTTTGTATGGCTTAGAAGTGATGTTGTCTTTATACTGTGTTATTTGTTCTTAACTTTACATTACCAGCTCTGGTGTGCTTACCTTTTTCACCAACGTGTTTTCTACCCTACTTACCTCATAAGTGAATCTAATACGGAGGTTACTTTGGATATAATCATTATCTTAACAGGCAAGATAGTGGGCTGTGCTATTTCAAACCCTAAATTTGGCTTTCAGGATTATGAAGTATTAATTCTTCCACTGATATCTCAAAAGGTGATTTGGACAAAGGAACAGGTATCTCAGGTAAGCAATTGTTGAATATGAAAGTAAATATTCTTCTTTGACTGTTTGTTGTATTTGTTATGTTTAATAGCTTTCCTAATAATGAACCAACTTTGCATTTCTGGAAGAAGATTCATACTTTTCTTTTTTTATTTTTATTTTTTGAGACGGAGTCTAGCTCTGTCGCCCAGGCTGGAGTGTAGTGGTGCGATCTCAGCCCACTGCAGCCTCTGCCTCCTGGGTTCAAGCAATTCTCCTGCCTCAGCCTCCTGAGTGGCTGGGATTACAGGTGTACACTGCCATGCCCAGCCAATTTTTGATATTTTTTTTTTAGTAGAGATGGGGTTTCACCATGCTGGCCAGGCTGGTCTCGAACTCCTGACGTCATGATCTGCCCACCTCAGCCTCCCAAAGTATTGGGATTACAGGCATGAGCCACCATGCCCAGCAGCCAGATTCATACTTTTAAAGAATTTTGAATTATGTTTGCTAAATTTGATATTTCAAATTTTATTTTCTATTTATTATTTTTTTCCTTTTTTTTTTTTTTGTTTTTTGAGACAGAGCCTCACTCTGTTGTCCAGGCTGGAGTGTGGTAGTGCTATCATGGCTTACTGCAGCCTTGACCTCCCTGGCTCAAGGGATCCTCCTACCTCTCAGCCTCCTGAGTAGCTGGGACCATAGGTGTGCAGCACCACCCCCAGATAATTTTTGTGTTTTTCGTAGAAACGGGGTTTCTCCATGTTGCCTAGGCTGGTCTTAAACTCCTGGGCTCAAGCTGTTTGCCCACCTTAGCCTTCCAAAGTGTTGGGATTACAGGGTGAGCTACCATGCCCTGCCCGGTCTTTTTCTATGTTCAAAAGTGAGTTGTTTTGTGGGGGATTGCAGTCTTTTTCAATTGTTGATGTTAGGATCATTAATGAAATCTTTCGTTGCCTATTGTTTTAAACTGAACCAATCTCAAATATATCCCATGCCATTAAATATACTTGAATAACATCTTTTAAAAATTGACACATAATACACCACTGCATGAATGTAAAAATTTAACTTGTATCTGATATTTGGAATCTTGTTTTAATTACTGCTCTTTTAATTGTGTATAAATAGTGGTACAGTGAATATCTCTATAGATAAATTGTTGTACATATGTGTGTTTATTTTCTGAGGTTGGATAAAATATATAGTCCTTCTAGTGGTGTATAAGAATGCCTTTTTTTTTTTTTTTTTTTTTTTTTACTTTTTCACCAGTACACTATATTAAGGTTTCAGAAGAATTTGCCAGTTGTAAAGGTGAAAAATGGCCTTTGATATTTTAATTTGTATTTCTTTGATTCCTAACAAGATAGAACAGATAAAAATCTTGGGTCTTTATTTTTGAGTTTATTTTTCACACTTAGTTTTAGTCTATCGTATGTTGCAGATATTTCCCCCAGTTTGGCCTATAAATTATTAATTTGTATGTAGCTCAAATATCTTTTTCTTTATGGTTTATTCTCCACTTGTATTTTATAATAGGAAGATAAATATATTTTTTATAGTTCATAATTCCTTTATCCTTTTATTATTTTTTTTAATACAAATCTTTCCCATTGGGAACCTCTTTGGTGTGTGGTATGTAACTAATTTTTCTAAATGTTCAGCACATTCAGGGTTTGTGGGGTTATAGTAAGGGTACTTGTGGAGCTCTCAACAGTAGGACTTTCAAAATCTTTTCCCCAGTGCTCTGCTTTTAACATGACTTAAATATTCTCTCAGCCTGTTTCAGTTTTCCTGCCATTGGCTTATCCTATCTTCTATGAGGGGAGTTAGCAAACTTTTTCTGTAAAAGGCCCAATGGTAAATATTTTAGGTTTTCTGGGCCATATGGTTTCTGCTCTTGTAGCATGAAAGCAGTCATAGACAATACATAAATGAATGAGTATGGCTGTGTTCCAACAAAACTAGTTACAGAAGGAGGTAGTGGGCTGGATTTGGTTTGTTTGCTGTAGTTTGCCAATACCTGCTTTATGATACTGTACTCTTACAACTTCTGCTCACCTAGTTTCTGCTTAGTCATAGTGAACTTCCTCATATTTATGCCTCTGATTTTCCCTTAGAATCCTTTTTCACCTCTGGTCTTTGCTACTGATTACCTGTTTCCATATTTCACAGTTTTAAGTTTCTGAGAGCACTGGCGGTAGCTAAATTAGACGCTTTGCATATCACCACTATCGTGTACTTTGCTTGACTCTCCACCCTGTTGCTTCAGTATAACCGATTCCAAATAGCTGCATTCCTTTTGAGGGTCTCTTCCTTGCAATCCAGATTTCATTGCAAGAAATGGGGTCATTTGGATAATTTTAAAGAAGTTTATGGAATTCGACTAGTGTGGTATCATTAATGTGATTAAGCTCTTCTCTCCTTGTGCACATCATCTTGGTCCTACTACAGATTGATTTCCTCATTTTCTGTCTTTCTCTAACCTCCTGGTTACTGAATACTTAGATTTTGTTTCTCATTCATAACTTGAGCTTTTGCAACTACTATAGGTGTGACCTTCCTTCTACACTATCTTTTTTTTTACAGACTGTCGGCTTTAGCTCTTGCTACTCTCCATGTTGCCAAGTTGTCATTAAATTGAGAATCTGATTCCCTGTGGGTTGTTAAGTTTCCTGAGACCGCAGGGATAGTAGTTGCTATTTGGCAGGTCTAGGACATTTCCCCCTATTGATTACTATGTGCAAATGTATCTCTTTCCCTACTTATAATACAAAATTGCTTTAGCCTAACACAGTCCAGCTACTATAAGTGTATCCAGAATCAAGCTCTAAAACTAGAACGCAACTCAGCCATGTAGCATCCAGAGGTACCTGACCATCTTACTCTCCTTATATCCTAATGCTATTTTATATGCCTGTTAAGTTGTATCAGATCTACATTCTGATCTATAGTTTGAAGATTTTAATTTTCTAAGCAACCCTTTGTGAGGTCACAAATACTTTTTGTTTGTTACTGGTTATAGGCATTATTGATTCTCATCATTCAGTATTCTTTCCCTTTTCCCTTACACCAGATCATAATATAGTATTCTCTCTCTCTCTCTCTCTCTCTCTCTTGTTTTTTTTTGGAAACAGGGTCTTGCTTTGTCACCCAGGCTGGAGTGCCATGGTGCAATCTTGGCTCACTGCAACCTCCGACTCCCGGCTCAAGCAATTCTCTCACCTCATCCTCCCAAGTAGCTAGGAATACAGGCATGCACCCCCATGCCCAGCTCATTTTTGTATTTTTTGTAGAGATGGGGTTTCACTATGTTGCCTAGGCTGGTCTCAAACTCCTGAGCTCAAAGCAATCTGCCTGCCTCAGCCTCCCAAAGTGCTGGGACTATAGGCATGAGCCACCATGCCTGGCCCATAATATAGTATTCTGACTTGACAACTTAGCTCAGTTTATTAGGAATGTCTTTATTTAATTAATTTGGTAAATTACTAGGAATGTAATAGTTTACATTACTGCTATGAACTCCTTTCCTGCTACATACTCACTTCCTCATTTCTATTCTTTATCCTATTGCTAATGGATAGTTTCTGCTTCTTTCTTTTCTTTCCTTTTTTTTTTTTTTTAAACTAATAGAGACAGGGTCTCACTATGTTGCCCAGGTTATTATTGAACTCCTGGCCTCAAGTGATCTTCCTGCCTTGACCTCCCAAGGTACTGGGATTACAGGCGTGAGCCACCATGCCTGGCCAGTTTTTGCTTCTTTATGGCTTCTGACTCCTGTGCCTATTCCTCACAAGTTGATCTTATTTAAATCTTTCATGCTTCTTACGTAGCTGTGGTATGTTCTTTTACCATGTATCCATTCACTTCAGCTGCTGAGTTTCTGTTCTTCTGTTTTTCCCAATTACAAATTTAATCTAATTTTCTCACCTCATCCTTGTTTGGGGAGGGCTTTCATGTCACAAGTCATAGGCTGTTGACCAGCTTGTAGACATATGCCCTTGAGTCTGAGCCTTACTTACCCTTGGTCTGATCAACTTTGGATTTGGAGGAGGGATAGTTGGTCACAAGAATGCTTTCTTAGCAGTCTTGTTTGCCTGGCTAAGAAGGTTTTTCTTTAGAAAGATTTTGGGTGTGGATAACACTATGACACATTCATTCTATCTGGTTTAGCTCTTTAAAGCTGCTTGATCGCAGTATCTACCAAGTCTCTTAAAGACTCACCTTCTCCTGGGTAAAAGTTCTAAAAGTTCCATGATATCACAAGCTGGTTTGTACAACATCTTCAAAACAAAGAGGATTCTCTTCAGGTTTGTAGCTAGTTTCCTAAACTACATTCTTTCTAGGGGGATGTTCTGCTTCTTACTATGGGTTAGGCACTTGTGATTGCTAGAAACAAATTCTCTGTTGAGCTCACTTAATGACAGGTTATTTGCAGGCCACCTGTGGGGAAATAATGGTGACTTGGATCACATGCAGTTTCACATACAGGTGATCTTTTGTATCTGTGGGTTCCACATCTGTGGATTCAGCCACCTGTGGATCAAAAATATTTGGCTAAAAAATATAGATGATTGTGTCTGTACTGAACATGTACAGACTTTTTTGGTCGTTATTCCCTAAACAATAGAGTATAACCACTATTTACATAGCATTTATATTGTATTAGGTATTATAAGTAATCTAGAGATGATTTAACATATATGAGAGGATATGTATAGGTTGTATGCATTTACTAGAATATTTTATATAAAATATTTGAATATCTGTGGGGGATTCTGGAACCAATTCCTCTGTGGATACCAAGGGACACCTGTTTAGGGGGACCTTAATATGATTATGCCTGTTAGGTATGTGAACTGGATTCAGAGAAGCTCCTCCTGGGTTCAAGTGATTCTCCTGCCTCAGCCTCTCAAGCAGCTGGGATTACAGGCACCTGCCATCATACCTGGCTAATTTTGTATTTTTAGTAGAGATGGGGTTTCTCCCTGCCTTGAACTCCTGACCTCAGGTGATCCGCCTGCCTCAGCCTCCCAAAGTAC